GTGTGTGTGTGAGTGAGTGTGAGTGTGTGTGAGACGCACCTGCTCTGAAGAGTGCTCCTGCGGCGTAGTGCATGGCGAGTGTGTGCACCAGTTGTCTCGGTGTGGTGCAGATGGGGCTGCGCTCGAACAGTGAGAAGGACAGCGGCGTGTGGTCGGAGGCGATGTAGAGCTTGAGCGAGGCGTGGATGCTCACCAGCAGATGAACCGGCTCGATGGACAGCTTCTGCAGCAGCACCGGCGTCACCAGAGCGTGTGTGGACTCCAGCACCTCCCGCGGGACCACAGGCTCCACCCCTCCGCCGCAGCCCCGCCCACCCAGGGTGCATTCTGGGATGTAGGTGTGGAAGAGCGTCTTCATGTAGTAGATGAAGGTGTCCTCCAGATAGACGCGCGCCGGTCTGACGCGGAGGGCGAGGCGGTCCAGCCGGCCATCGGGGGAGACGGTGACGCTCAGGGACAGGAAGCAGGCGTCGCAGAACTCCTGAAGGCGCTGCGGGGTCGGCGCGAGGTCGGGCTCACTCTGAGGCTCCTGGCACAGGATGACGGGGAAGTGGAAGCTGGCGCGCTCGTACAGCTGGTTGTCCACCTGCAGGCCGGCGCAGTGGATCTGGACGGTGTGGACGGCCGAGGGTTCGCCGGGCGGCAGCTGAAGCAGCAGTTTGGAGATGGTGAGACGCAGTAGCTCCACAGAACTGGACGGGCTGGTGATGTCATCACAGAGCGCCACGCTCGCCTCATTCAGCAGAATCCTGAAGGACAGCACCTGATCGGACGGCCTGCGGGAAACACACAGGTGAGCGAGTCAAACACCGCCCTCTGCTGGAGAAACTCAACACATGCGTGAACATAAGCGTGTTTGACCTGTGGCGTGTGACGATGTCTCCAGCGCTGCTCTCTGGTGCGAGCGTCAGCGTGATGGTGCCGCTCTGGTGAAGAACGTCGATGTACAAACAGCCGAAACCAGAAAGAAAAACAACCTAGAAAACACACAGGAGCTCCAGTCATGATGAGTGGAGATCTCTGACACATGACACACATCTACACGTCTACTGAGTGTTCAGAAACTGCTGATCTGATGCAGACTGAACTGACAGCACACACAGCAAGGCTGTTCCTCACGTCTCACACACACACACTCACACTCACACACACACACACACACTCACACACAC